CCCACCATGGCCATGCCCAGCCAACAGCCGGGCAGCAAACCGGTTGCTGGGATTTTTGAATCCCATCCCTGGATAGATGAGAGAGATATAGAGATACGGTGAGGGAAATGTCAGTTTTATAAAATCAGGAGCTGCTCTTGATGTTACCACGATTTTATAGCAAATATTCACCGCTAAAAAGATAAACAAATGACATGAATTATGTGAGCTGCTTCAAACCTTGGCTCTCGATTCCTCCTGAGTAAACTCACAAAGGTCTCGATTTCTTTAGCTGTGATATGTTTCTCCAGCAGCTTCCTGTTGTTGTGCAACAAAGCTGTGATCGTATCTTCTGCCAAGATATCATAGCCAATTTGGGACTGCATGATGCAGAAATTGGTAGCAATGTATTCCTGGAAGAAAATCCCAGAACGATCTGTTAAATAGTTTGAAAACAGGAACACTCCATATCACTTCCCCAAGTTCCAGATTTATTCCATATTATTTCCCCTCTTTGGTGCTCACCAAGCTCAGCACCAAGGAGTCACCAGAAAGAAAAAAACAGATAAGCATGGATTAACCCCAGACAAACAATCCAGCAGAAAACAGTATCCTCATCAAGGTACTACCAAGCAGGAAACCACTCTCCCACCAACACTGCCAGGGCAAGCAAATGTATATAAAAAGGGACCAAACCCTACACTCCTTTGTAGATGATGTTACCAAGTTAGGACATCAAATGTCTGCAAAAAAAACCCCACCCAACTCAGAGAGCACCAAGGACTCCACAGTCCTCCTTCTCTTCCTCTTTGCAAATCCCACCCCCTTCTAGCACTGATTATCTTATCTAGTTCAGCCATGAAACATCTGCATGAAAACCAGCAAGCTCAGAGAGCACCAAGGACCCCACAATCTTCTTTCTCCTTCCTCTTCCTTCTCCTCCTCCTCCTCCTCTTCCTCTCTGAAAATCCCACCCCTTTCTAGCACTGATGATTTTACCTAATTGGATCATGAAACATCTGCATGAAACCCACCAAGCTCTGGAGAGCACCAAGGACCCCACAATCCTCCTCTCCCTCCTCATCTCCACAAACCCCACCCGCTTCTAGCACTGACGATCTTACCTAGTTGGGTCTTGAAACATCTCCAAGAAAACCACCAAGCTCAGAGAGCACCAAGGACACCACAGTTCAACCCTGAGCTACAAAACCTGTACTCTATTGGTAGGAAAAGACCAACCTGGTTTTTTCGATAGTCCTGTTGAGAATGACGGAGGATTCTGTAGCAAAGTCTAAGCATGTATTTGTAGGGGGCGTATCTCTGGTCTCCCAAGTCCTCCAATCTCAACATGGCTCCCTCACCAGCCTTCTCTTTAAATGGGGTTTTCAATATTCCAAAAATCTGTGTCCAAACCCAGAGACAGACAGACATAAGAACACCAAGTTATATAGCTGGGAAAAGCTGACAAAGGATCTTCTCGTAAGCCTTCACAAGCGAACGAAAAGGCCTATCTTTACCACCCCTGCCAAACAGGCAGTCCTCAAGTTATAGCCATAATTGAGACTGCCATTGCGGTCATTAAATCGTGATGATCACAAGCTGTGACGGTCATACGGCAGGTCACCCCGGACCTGATTTTATGACCTTCTTTTGCAGCAGACATGAAGGAAAAATGTAGAGAGAAGGTTGGGTGAAAATGGGAAGCAAATGCTGGCTTGGGGTAAAAACATCATAAACAACAATCGCGTGACCACACAGTCATAAATGTGGGTTAGTTGCTGGATGCCCAAGATGTAGTCATGTGAACGCAGGGAAGGGGCTGTTGGAACTAACTGTTGTGGCCCACCAGCAGAGCTGGTGGCAGACTCAGACAGTGAGGAGGTTGGGAAGCAACGTGGGCCAGTCCTGGAATCTGGGGAAGGCTCAATGTCAATTCATAAAACATTTATATGTCTGTTTTATAGTTGTCAACACAAAGGGAGGGGGGAAAGGGGTTTGAATTATGATAAACCCATATCGGTGGGGGAAAACCAAGGTCAAGGGTGACAGTGAATTATGTGTCTCAGAGTAGGCTACACCCAGGTAGTGCCGACATGTTAACTCCCAATAAATCCTGTTTAGTGTTGGAAGTTTGGCTCAAGACTCATGATTTAATTGGGATAACTGCTGGAATCCTGACATTCTGATGAGTGCTCTGTTTCAGAGGGAGAGATGGGGCCAGGGCCATTCGACTGTTATCAGCTGCCTTTGGAGTCAGAGATCAGTGGGGAAGAAGAACAGCTGAGGCCTGTTCCCAGTGTGCGCATGCACAGAGCTGCCAGGAGAAGGGAACAGCTAAGGAACAAGGGTCGACTCAAGAGTAAGAACACAGGTGGACAGTGAATGGCCCCTGCCATAGGAATCAAAGAGGAGCAAAAGGGGAGTGGGGTTTTGCAGGAGACAATTAGTTTGTTTAATTAGTGTGAAGATTCGTGTATCTAAGTTCGTGACTCACAGAGACTCCTTGGCAAGTATTTCCTTGTACAGCATTGCACTTGGAAGCTATCGGCCTGGCAACTCTCCAAGCCTGATAAAGGTCTGTGGCTGCAATTCACCCTTGAAAGACTGTTTGCCAGGACTTTGTTGGATGTGGATGATAGGAATTCACATTAGCCTAAATAAAAAGGGGTTTTGTGGGGACGAGGAGTCTGCTTTGTGATTTTGTGAAGCGTAGGTCAGAACAAAAACCAGGAGAGATCAGAACAAGAGCAACCTCTTTTATGTGGCTAGTTTCATTTCCTCAAACAATTTTGTCCAGTCTAGAACCTGCTTGATATCCTGATATGATATTCAGAATTCCTAAATTCACATCAGAATAGGTTGCAGATTTCTTTAAAATGTCATCACTGTCGTATTGTGGGCACCATCAAGGAAAGGATTATATGGCATCTCTCCTCTTTGTTTTAGAGAGTGCATTTGTCACCATCCACCTACCTGTTCCAATATATTTTGTTCCCTCATTAATTTCTGCCTCTCCCGATTGGGTCTAATCACCACCACATCCAAAACCTCTTGTCCGTTGTTGTGCACATCGGCCACGAAGAAAATGAGGTCTTCCAGGAGCTTAGTGACAAACCTAAGATGAAACAAGGATGGGACACTGAACAACAATGAATAATAACAGAATTATCACCTACCAGGTTAGCTAAAATGTTTAAAAATATGCCTAGCAAATGTCGGAAATATAACCAAAAAACGGGCACTTTTTATCATATGTGGTGGAGTTGCAAAAAAAAAAAAAATGGGCAAAGAAACATAGGAGATTAGAAAAGATAATAAGGAAATAGATAGATTTTAAACCTGAATTGTTTTTATTAGGTATAATGTCAGAAAGAAATTGATAAGAAAAGTATGTTCTTAATATTATATCTCAGAGAACAGCAGTGAGGATTATATTCATACAATACTGGAAAAATGAAGATATACTGCGAGATGAAGAGATAGTCAGGAAGACACTAGATTGTGCAGAAATGGATAGATTGACATTGAAAATTAAACAGAAAGAAGATGTAGGATATTATCAAACATGGGATCTATTTTACCGATGGTTGGAAAAAAGGGGTGGAGATTAAGAATGTAAATTTGTATTGTTAAGCAAATTAAATATCCAGACAACACAATGTTTATTATTAAGGACTAAGAAATACATTTAATATAAAATCATTTTTTAAAAGAAAATAACAATAACAGAATAACAGAGTTGGAAGGGACCTTGTAGGTCGTCTAGTCCAACCCCCTCCACCCAAGCAGAAGACCCTGCCTACACCATTTCTGACAGATGGCAATCTAATGTCTTCTTGGAAGTCTCAAGTGATGAAGCTCCCACAACTTCTGAAGGCAACTTCTGTTCCATGGGTTGATGGTTCTCACTTTCTGAAAATTTCTCCTTATTTCCAGGTTGAATCTCTCCTTGGTCAGTTTCCATCCATTGCTTCTTGTCCTGCTTTCAGGTACTTTGTAGAATAGTGGGAGCTCCACACTGAACATCTCTATCTCCCTGAAGATCCTCCAAGATTAAAAGAACAGGCTTCCAAGCAAAAGACATCTTCTTTGTTTAATATGGAGAGGAGAGCTCTTGTTGTGGTCCACCAGCAGCCTGTGCAGACAGCAACAGAATTGGACAGTGGGGAAGAACAGGGAGCAGTCCGGGAGTCTGGGGAGGATGCGGATGGTCCTGCGTCCAACGTAGAGATTGGGCCAGGACCATCTGGGAGTGGGCTGCTGACTCTGGAGCCTCCAGAATCTGACAGCAGCAAGGCAGAGGAACGGTTCCCAGTGCGCACGTGCACAGAGCTGCCAGAAGGCAAGAACAGCTAAGACAAAAGGGGCGATTCAGGAGTAAGACTTGGAGATGATTGGCCCTCCCATAAGGTAAAAAGGAAGTGCAAAGGTAGGAAAATCTTTGCAGGAAGCAATGTCATTTGCTCCGATCGGTTTGGAATCTGAAAGCTCCATGGTGAATTTGTTCTCTGTTTGGTTTTGAGAGACTAATTGGGACTTTAGTCATTGGCAGCACTTCAAGTCAGATAAGGTGCGTTCTTATCAGATGTCTTTCGAAGAACTTTGGTAGATGTTCCTGGGACTAATTATAACCAGTTAAGACTCATTCCGGGCTGTGAATGATGATAATTCACAGCCAATGAACTAAAATAAAAGGGTTTTAGATTTCATGTGTGTTTATTGGTGTCTTAGGAAGTCTTGATCAGAACAGTTCTCCATGTATGGTGGCCAAGACTCAAAAGGCACTTTTTTCAGAAGGGGAAAGAATACAGAATAGAATACAGAATAACAGAGTTAGAAGGGACCTTGTAGGACATCTAATCCAACTTCCAATCTCTTCTTAAAAGCCTCCAGTGATGAAGCTCCCACAACTTTTGAAGGCAACTTCTGTTCCATGGGTTCATTGTTCTCACTGTCAGGAAAATTTCTCCTTATTTCTAGGTTGCATCTCTCCTTGATCAGCATCCATCCATTGTTCCTTG